TGAAACTACTACTGCTGCACGTTCTTTGTGGGAAGGGGTGTGGTGTTTCCATATAAAGAACAAGATGACATTGACTTTTTAAACTCCATGACTCAGCTGTTCAACATTCATTGACGGCACAGAAAATCACTGCGCTGCGTCTGAGTACAGTATGTGGGAAACGGAGCCCCAGCAAGCACTGGCTGATGATGCATACTGTGATTTCCTGATTAAAGAGCAGTGCTAAAAGTGTCAAACAATCCTGAGGATCTATAAAAAGAGAGCAAGAAATGTTTGATTCTTTGATAAATCAACGGTGCTCACTTAAGGCAAAAAGAACATAAAAGCTGGCCTTGAAATTGATTTGCCTCCTCAGCTTCATGTCAGTAATTTATCTGTCTTTTATGAGCAAAAACAAGCTTTCAGAGTGTAGCAAGGGAAATGCTCAAATCAAATTGTAAAGTATTGTGGTAAGAAAAGCAGAGGGAAAGGATATGCACCACGCAGGAGATTAGTCCCAATGGCAATTACAACTGAGCGGATATACATACTCTCCATGCTGAAGTAGAAATAACAACATTTGTTGCTTTTATTTGTTAATTTTAAACATATTTTTTGGGGGTGAATCTTTCTTGCTCTTCTTTACAGTTTCTAAGAAAAACATTTTTAAACTTGATCTTACCACAATATCTCTGTGATTGACAGTTTTCAGATTTCTACCAAAGGCACCCCATACGAATCAGATCACGAGAAAATTAAGTTGCCAGATGTCCTGGTAATTGCATGTTATAAGGTACATATTCTGCATAATGTTTTTAGTTTGTTAGGTTATTTTGAGATTCATTGCTGTTCGTAACCATTGTATCTTATTTAGCTGCCATACTGTAGTATAGTACACAAAAACACTGTTTATTGATGAAAATGACCTCAAGTTCAAGAGGATACTATTCAAATATTGACGTCACTGCATGATTCCTCAGTAAGAAATGCTCTGACTCAGTCCTGCCATGGGGCATGTGCTCAGAAAAAGAAAACTAATTCAAACCAGTTAATTTGGACTCTGTTTCCAGTCAGTTACTTCATGTTTCTCTAGAGAGAAACACAACAGCTGACCAGTCTTTTAAAAGCGTTGACTCAGTTCTTGGTCTGTCTATTTTTTCCACACGTTCTGTGCCAAAAACATAAAAAGGACAAATTGATATTTTGTAGACATCACTGTAAGGTATTAATCTGAACAGCAACAGCTGCCCAGGGATAATGAGGGTCCTGTTTGAACTGACCGCTGGTGTCTCTATGAAGAAGTAAAGTTATTCAATAGCCATCTTAAGGCCAAACCAACAGCAACTGACGTGATACAGACACAAAGAGGCCAAACTTTGGCTGGCATGTGATGATGGGAAGCTATCAGAGCAGATAACCGGAGCACAGCTGCAAGACTCTGACCTTGTTCCCTGTCCAGGATGAGGGAAATCATACATGCAAATATGACAGGACGCTGTTTGGTTCATGATCTAACAACAAGGAAAACAAACTAAACAAGCAATAAATTATACAACCTGAAGCAGTATGTACAGATGTACACAGATAAGAGCATTTATAACAAAGGTAATGTATTCTTTACTCTTTAAAGTTAAGAAGAAATGTTCTGCTCAGGCGTGATCTAATAACAGCTGAATAAGAACATTAAGTTCAATGCTCTATAGAACAATAATTGTCAGCGCTAAGATGCCAAAGATAATTAATCAACTCTTATCAAACAATCTACTTCAGGTATGATGAACATGTTCTCTTGCTTAAAAGACATTAAAAACACAAACCCAGAATAGCTGCACATAAAGCAGTGCTTAATGAAATCCCTGATTTCCATTTCATCACACAGGTTGTGCTGTCATAACAAGTTAAGAGGTGGTGGTTCTTTGAGGCTGTACTTATGCACATGGTGCGTTGAACTCAGTTTCAAAGCCAGCATGCTAATATGCTATCAATGACAATGCTATCATGTATTTAGCAAATGTAATTGCATCAATCCAATAGATGTTGAGACATTAAACTCAAAAGCACAATTGTCAAATCAATGAGGGGGCTAAATGAAAAGTCAAGGGGCCACAAGTCAGGAGGATTGCCACTTCAGTGACCATACATATCTGTACCAAATGTTATGGCAATCCATCCAAACAGTATTCAGATATTTCTGTCCAAACCAAAGCAGAAGAGCGAGCGATCAACACTGCCATTCATAGAGCCACGCTGTTGCAGGGCTTAAAATGTTATTACTGTCATCACACTTCAGCTGATGTGTGAATAAACCATGCGTGATGATAACTCCTTCAAAAAATAAAAGCTGTGTAATTATGGCCAAAGTCCAGTTAATATCTGAGAGAACAAATCACTCAGTACTGTGTGCAGTTGCTTTGTGAATTACCTTTGGTGGATTACCTGAAGTAGTTGCATTGTTCATCCATTAGTGAAAACATGTTACTGAGGCTTACAGCAGTGAATGTAGAGGAGTAGAGTGAGGGGACTCCCTGGTTGCTAGTCATTTTGTAAACAAGGCTGAAGCATCCAAATAGAGCCACACTGTGCAGAAACTCTTTACTCTTGGTCACAGGAGGGGTAGCACACACTGCTCGAGGGACTGACAGTAATCAAACTGATTCATGCTCCTCACTTCATCCGGCACTACAGCTAAATATCATGTTTCGCTTCTCCAAGCCTTAATGAAACCACAGGATATAACTCACTGGTGAGACATGGATATAAATATATGCTTTTATTGTAGTGACAACACCCGGAGAGCCTTTGGTGTCTGTGGAAATAATGCTTATCCATCTTTTATGTTTTACTCGTGGTTCACAGTAAAAGGCAGATACATTGCTGCATGCCTGAATTGTGAAACATGATAAGTTGCCAAAAATATGAGATAAAGGCTTGTGAATGCTGCGTCCACCTAGTTTTTGTTGTTGATCAAAACTGCAACCAAATTACATTTTGCTTGTAATGACATTACAGTACATCTGCTTGTGTACAGCAGAATATATAATACACTATAATAATCTAACATTATTAATAAAATATGACATCATGTTAGTTTATAAGAGAAGCATATCATTTTACAACATGCAATTTATATGTTTCTCTTATCCACAACAAGTGCAAGAGTAGACAAATTCAACACTCTTGAGTCCTGTCATTGAAAACATAGTTGACGCTTTGTAACAAAGAGGTATGGAACTGATCACGATGTGTGAGTGAACTGAACCTCAGCGACAAGCCTAACGAGTTCCCCAGGTCCACAGAATGGGTGTTCGTCCTGTTTTCAGACAGAGGGCTGGAATTCCTGAGCAAATCTGTACAGCAGTGATCGGTTTGAAAATGGAGCGCCAGCTTTGAAACTAAGGGAGATGGGGGTTACTCTGTACGCACCTCCCTGTAGGAGAAACTAATGCAAACCATCTGCTGTCATACCGACTTGCAGTTCAGCATCTGGCAGAGAAGCAACCAGCGAGCGGTGCTGGTGTCTGCTGCTCCAGACAGTCAGGATGGCAATCAGACTATTTGTCTCTTCTACTTTTCAGATACTCTCACAAAGACAAGACCACAAATACAATAGGTTTTTAGTTATGTCACATCTTAGAAGCCATTCCTGAAACGTCCTATTGTTTACTTTATTTGTACATGTCAAGTTTCATCCCTTAACATTGTTATATACATAAATTAATCTTGGCTGGATTTCATGTTCCCTCAAAAGAAGAAAACAACTTTGACTATTTATTCACTTAAGGCCTAAGATAACACAAGTGTACGTGATAATGCCACAAAAGCAGATTTAAAGCAGGAATATATTACATCCTGGCAAAAGCTCAATGATGTTGACTTTATATTATACAGATTTTGTGCTTTTGTTTGTCTATAAACAACCCGACCAACGGGTTAAATCCATCACTTTGGATAGCAGTTAAAATGTTTTAGTCCTACCTGTTTGAAGGGGCATTGTTTGTGTGTGAATAAAGCAACCGGTTTAAAGCTAAATGATGCATAACATTTACTTTCCAGAGGCAAAATACTCTTAAATCGACAGACCTTTGCTCATCCTCTAAGCATATCTTTATACTCGTGAAGGATAACATCAACTAAACGTAAAAGTGGATTTAATGGGGGAACACCTATAAATAAAAGAGATATCTCCAATAACAAATAAGAATGAGCAGTCATTATCAACGTAGAAGAATGTTAAAAGCTGCACCCCAGCTGTAATATAATGTCCAAAAGCCAAAGTGGGAATTATGCTACAGAAGACTGTGGCTTGAGGAATTGTTGCCAAAACACAATGACAAGGCCACACTACCTCCTCCATAACTTGGCTCTAGGCGTGTCTGCTGCAGGGATGGCATTCAGTAACCAGGAAAAACCTGTCTCTATGCAGTGCACACACAGATAACAATGCTGGAAACAATACACACACACTCCACCTGACACATGCTCCCTGAAGGCCTCTTTTTCCAAGACAAACCAGTTTTAAAGAAAATGCTGCACCTATAATGCATCCGAGTAATGTTAAATGACATTACATCTGGGTGTCACTCAGAAAAGTTCTCGGTCAGGGCTGTCTAATTGCTTTCTCTTCAAGTGTAGACCGTAACAAGTATACGACTGTCAGAATCAAGAGTCAGTGACAGGTGACTTTTAATGGTTGGGGGATTATAATAAATATGGGCAGAACAATATCAACAAATGTCATATTGTTAGCTTTTTCTCACATCAATAGGCAATCTGTCAGGTTAAGTAACAGAAACTGGAGTTGAGTATTTGTAAATGTGGTTAATAGAAAAAGTATGAAGAGATAACCATAACACATTTAAAATCACATGTTGTTTGTTTTGGGGGATTTATTAGATAAATATATCGAGTATATGTTTTTTTTACAGCTCTAGAGGATCCAACTTTTATTAAGCATGTGGATTATATTGGCTGTACTAAGTAAATAGTATCATCATATCTGAGGCAGTGTAAATATCACTCACCATCCTTTGGCTTTAACCCAACAGTCTTCTCCGTCGTATACCCTGCGATCCAGTGTTTGTGCGAACCTCAGTCAAGTCCACACTGTTCAAACAAAAACTCTGTAGTTGTTAAAAGCTAACGCCAGTGGACGAAATCCAATTTTACAGAGGATATTTTTCCCGATAAAGTCCAGAAAGCATGGATGCATGGATCCTCAGCGGTGTCCTCAGTCCATTGTACGGACAGACCTGAGCCCTACACTGACAGCAGCAGCAGTATCACACTCAGATCTGGATGGTAATTTACGGAGAGCAGTGCCCTCAAAACTCAGCTCTAAAACATAACACAGGAAACGCAGCCAGGAGGTCCAATCAAAGGGCGCTGCACGCGGAACACGCTTAAATATTCATTAGGCGCTGGGAGAGGAACGACTGGGCATGCGCAGCTTTGGGTCTTCCAAACAACAGACTGAAATTTTATTTTCATTTGTTACTACTTCTACCCCACTTCAATTCAGAGGTAAATAGTGTACTTTAGGCTATTTAATATCTTTAGTTACTTTGCACATTTGGATTAATACAACTTAATTAAGACTTGAGTTACATCTGGAGTAAAATTCACAATATATAACTTCAAAAGGAAACTTAAATGTTGCCAATTATATCTCAAAGCTATGTTTCAAATTCCATGCAATACACATTATTAATACAAGGTCTGAAAGAACAATATACGAATACGAGTACATTTTCCTTTTTACATGCAGCATGTGGAATAATCTTCGTATCTTCACTCAGGATCCCAGGGACATCACTGGTATACCTTGTGGAAGTCGTTTACAGTGCTTCATGACTTTAAATGAAGAATTATCTATTTATTGAAAAAAATGTGTACAGTAGAATAATTGAGTTCAACTTCCCCCTCAGGCCAATGTAACTCACAGGCCTTTCTCTTTTGAAGTGCTTGGGTGGCACTAATGTCCACTTCTCACAACCAGTCTCCAGACTGAGGCTCGCCTTGCAATGATGTTGGGCGGTGGGGCGACTCTCTGGGTGTAACCTGTCTAACAGGCTACCTCTGTGCAGTAGGCACACTGTGTGTGTGTGTGTGTGTGTGTGTGTGTGTGTGTGTGTGTGTGTGTGTGTGTGTGTGTGTGTGTGTGTGTGTGTGTGTGTGTGTGTGTGTGTGTCATATCTAAGTCTTATTCTAAATACACCTTTACTTTTACATCTAAGATAAATATTAAGACAATATAATATAGCCCGGTGGGAACCAATGTGAATACTCACTACAACATGAAGCTCTTGTCTCCTGAACTTGTATTGACAGACGGTAAGACATGTTAGTTAGACGAGGAAACAAACAGAGCTGTTATAATGTATTATGATTAATAGATAAACAAGGAATGCTTCATAGAGTGTTGGTGATGCCAAATGTGCAGTGGTTTGTCACCACCAAGTGGAAGTTTTCGGCCTGACAGAAAATATAAAATTATTTGAAAATCTTGGCCAGTTTTTATTTTTTATGTTTTAATAATGTCTTGAAGGTATTCAATATTGGACATTATCAGTTTCGTTAATTGTATTCATTCATCCTGCCACATTTATTCATTTTCACAATTATCTCAGAAGATTGATGACATAGATCTGTGATAACAGCTTGGCCTCTCTATTTTTAGAAAATAAGGACAAATATTAACTATACTCTTTTCTCTCTATACCATAATTTTTCAGAATTAATTCATGAAAAATGTAAACTCTTAAAATATTTTGCTTTGCTTTTGAGTAGTTATAAATGCATTTCAAGTTGAGTTTAAATGCACTCGCAATAGATTTGAAATAGAACAATTGAGATTAGGTTAAGGACACTGAAGTGTGTGAGGCAACAATGAATAGTTCATTTGAGTCTGTTTATTAGCAATTGTCTGTCCTTAATGAAACAATATTGCCACCTAGTGCATATCATCTACCAATGTATTTCTCTTCAAATAAGAACCTAAAAAATCCTGTTTTCAATGATGGGCTGATATATATTTTTTACTTGAACATAAGCATAATATAACAACTTTTTTTAAATCTTGTTTATTTTTGTATATCACTCTGTTCTAAAATATGGGTTGGGTTGGGTTTCAATATGTATATTATTTCCAGTGGTTTGTGTCTGACTATACAAATTATAAATGTAATGATCCTGTTATTAAAAGTTTACATAGTTGTGTACATAAAATAACTGTAAAGAAAAAGATGACCGAATTACGCACTTAAGCCGCTAACTCTGACAATGTCTCGTGGGAGTTGTAGTCCATGTGTGGTGTACTTGATCAAGGTAAACTAACACAAATCAATCTTTTTTTATATCTCATATGAAGAAGTTATAAATATTGTATATAATGTACAGTAGTGTATATTAATTTAGCTAAGAAGGTGTGCAGAGTACCTCAAGTTTGAAAGTATCGGTACGAAAAGTAGAGCTGAGCAGCGGAGCCCGGAAGTAGGGCAGGTCCTCTTTATAAACATGGCCGTTAAGTCCTTACAGCATCAGGTTCTGCGTTTGTCTGTATCAGTTAGACATTCAGGAAGTCCCTGAGGGTAGCTAGTGCAGTAACAGGTGGAAAGAAAATGTAGACATTCGACCGACGCATATGCATTATTTTTCCGTTCTTTTATATCTGCGTGGGAACAACATTTATAAACTTCATAAAGTACTTTATGCTAGCTAGCTAGCGAAGCTAACACCGACGTCTCAACGTTAACTCCTGTCAACTTTTCCCAGCTACATAATCTGCTCCCTGACAGTTTATCGACATGGAGGAGTGCCGTCGTGCGCCTGGCTCGTCTCGATGAATATTTTACACAGGGAGGTGTCGGATTTACTCAGCTGACTAAACTTTATTGAAGGCTCCTTTTGGGTTGTTGTTTTTTTCCACTGGAAACAGCCAACTGCTGAGGGCGGACATAAACAATGTTTTCTGTCAAACCCATGAAACCAACCTTCAAGAGTTATCTTCCTCCCGTTCAGGTATGTCTTTTTTGCTTCAGAGTGATAACAGCAAAGTAAACTTTTGTGCATCGTACCGAGACAGTGTCAAATTAAAGTTTGAATTCATTTAGGCTTAGGTTTTCGTGACTGCGGTGTGGCTGCGGAAGGAAAGTATATATGTAACGTGTGGTTGTGATTAGAAGAAGAGATAACAATCTGTATGCAGCCTCACTTGCTGCTGTGTTGTTTACAAGGGAAGGAGAAGTGCTCAAAACTGGTACCAAAGTAAAAGTAGAACTGCAAGAGTTTAGGAATACTTTGTTACAAGTATAGTTCCTGCATTGTAAATGTTAGGGTTAAAAAAGTACAAAAGTATCAGCATCAAAATAAATACTCATTATGCAAATCGGGCTATTTCAGAATAATATAAATGATATGTTTTGATTATAAGTATTGATGCAGTAATGTGTTTTAACAAAGCTGATAAAAGTGCCGATAGTTTCAATTACTCTGTATGCTGAAGGGTAGCTTATGAATGTTACTCCAGGTGTAACTAAAGTCCTATTTTAAGTGTTGAATATAATGTGAAAAGTAACTAAAGGTATTTATTAAATGTAGTGGAGTAAAAGTAGACAATTAAACTCTGAATTGTAGTGGGGTAGAAGCACTAAGTAGCAACACATGTAAATACTCAAGTAAAGTACAAGTATCTCAAAAATTACAGTACTTGAGTAAATGTACTTAGTTAGTTTACACCACTGGTTGTTTAGAATCAACAAACACTAAAAACAAGTTTTAATTGTTAGTTTAAGACATTGCAAAACAAGCAAAAGTTTGCACCTACTTCTTTTTAATTTGGAGAATTGAAACTTTATGGGGGAATCTGATACCGGTATGGAGAATAGGTTCCAAACAGAATGTGGCACCAGTGTGTGAGAAATGGGCTGTCACTGGCCTTGTATTGCCTACATGTTTATGCGCTTTTCCACACAGAAAGTCAAAGCTTTGCTCACAGATACTGGTCCAAACTCCCAAGCATAACCAGTGTTTGGCCTAGCATGGTCAACAGTTGGGAAGTGCTTTGAATTAAGGTTTTGAAAAACATAAACCATTTTTAAAGAATAAATGTGTCAATATATGTATTCTAGTATCAAATAATCCTTTTGTTATGCTCTTGTGTTGTCAATCAATTAAACATGTCAAACTAAATAAAAATATATACAGATTACGTTTATTTGTGTCCAAGTAAATCTAGGATTTACTGCACAAGATACATTATAGTGATTGTACGTTTATGAGAAATAATACTTATTCACTAAATCAAGATTCAGTTTAAATTAGTGGCCTTTACACTATCTTACCGGATGTTTTGTTTTTGTTAAATTCCAACACTTTCCTATTAAACAAAATATACTTTGACCATTTCATTGTAGCTTTTTCATGTACTGCGTAGGCCTAGTTTCTGACTTTGTTTTGGCTGTGTAGTGTGTACAGCCCATTACATTGTAAATAATAAAACAATCATTTTGTGTGTGATCAAACACAACTAATGTACTGTGTATAAACTGTAACCTTTTCTATACATAATACTAAAAATGTAAAAACTACTATCGTCCTATATTCTTCCACCCTTAACACTTTCAAAGCTGAAAGTCAGCACTTTAAACTCAAAGTCATCATTTACTGTTAATCAGTGTGCTTGAGTCGAGCCACCAATGAAAAACACATGAGTGTGTGTGTATCTGCAGGTCTGAGCAGTATTTGGGGATACAGTATTAATAGCATGAGTTGACTGCTGTGTATCTTTGGTTCCTTCTAGTTTAGTTAACAGATTGCAACAGCATGGTGCAACTGTTTATGCAACGTTAATTCAACAAAACCAATCATAACAGCTGTCAGGTTGTTCAACGTGCATCCATTGTCAACTTAAATCCTAGGCATGTTGCTAGAGAATATTTTGTATCTAACTTGCATGTCATTTTTACTTTTTGACCCAGACTGATGTGAAGAAAACTTTTGAACCACCTATTAAAAAGCTGGAGCCAAAGTTACTTCAAGGTAAGTTTATTTTGTCATTCTCGTAAGTGGAGTCGGCTTTACCAAAGGGTTACAAATTCTCACGATACACCCTCCCATGAGGATTTAGAAACATCCTGCCAGTTATATTTGCACAGGCGTCAGTTTAGTGCCCTTTGCAGCACCGTTTATGTGTGGCGTTTCCCACCTCTCTGTTGTAAGACGTTGCCGTTTTACAGAACACTTTAAAGCTCTTATCATAAAAGTGGATTTAGAAAAAGGAGTTAAGCAATGCACATTTTTCCCCTATGACATCAAGGTCCTAAGTGAGCCTAGTGAATTAACAGGAGTGCCAGGAAATTCTCCATTTCAGTGTTTTATTCTGGTCCCAGCTGTTGATTTGGGAGCTTCATGGGAGAGGCTCAACACACCCTTAGCAGAGTGTTACTTTGAGTGAATATACAGTGATGTCATCTATAAAAGTAAGACAACATAAGCTGTATGTCAGTTTTACATATTATAAACGTTTCCTCATGGCCGCTCCTTAGAAAAAATCCTCATTTGCAAACCTGCCATACTTGTATTTTGTTTCCGTTGCGGTCGACATGAATAACATTTATAAAGCACCTGGTAAATGGTTGTTAAAAAAGTATTTCTATTCATTTCTATGTAGCTTTTACCATTGAAGGGGTATCTCTCCTTTTGCATCTTGATTTTGGAGCCAGACACAGGAACAGTTTTCATGATCAGCTGATATGTTTTGAACTTACTGTGTGTGTGTTACTTTGAGACAGTCCTTTGATGTGACTGCAGGACTCCACCCTGCTGCCTCTGCTCTCATGCTTTGAACATCCCTGGGGCAACTTTTTACTGCAGCATTAACTGTTTTGTGGTCATGTTAAGATATGAGACTATTTATTTGAAAAGATATGCCTAAAGCGTAAGTCAATTCTATGACTTGCATGTTGCTGTCCAACGTATCATCACATCAACGTTGTTTTGCAACATATCCTTACATGACCAGTTTACAAGTGCGTTTATTGTCAATTTCACCGTCTCAAATGGATGGATAACAAGAATGAACTTGTTTTTAAATAGAATAAATATGTAATATAATTGTTGTATGTATTGATGCTCTACTACTTGGTTAAATGTACAAATAGAAAACAGAAAAGATGAGGGTATGAAGATGGACGATACCAGTGGGGTTGGGTTATATTTTACGAATCACAAGCAGGATAATAAATAACTAAAACGGTAATAAATGAGCAATTTTAATAAATGATCGCACATACAACATTTTAGCCTGGTAAGGTTGAATTTATGTTCAGCAAGTCTTATTTATCTACATGTCATTTATGGGGTTAACTCACTTAATGTACTCTACTCTCCCTTGAACTCTGTAGTTGAACACTTCAGATTTTACACTGACTTTTTATCTCATGTGCTTGTCACCAGGGGAGATTGTAGTTAATGAAGTGAACTTTGTGAGGAAATGCATCAGCGCTGAGAGCAGCCAGGACGACCTTTGGGGGAAGTTGATCTGCACCAACTTCAAGGTCTCCTTCATCCCTCAAGATGCCTCTTCCAAACAGGTATTTGTGTCCTTTTTTAAATATTTAGTCTTAGTCGAAGACTTGGCTTCCATTGGCTACAGTTTTAGCTTTACATTTGTTGAATGTATTACTGCCCCAGCCTACTGCAGAATAGCTTTAACATGTGTATTTCTATAGCCATGTTGGCTTGCTTGTGCAGCTGGCAAAGAGGAAGGAAGACTTGTGTACTTTCCTGCCCTGCATTGTCAGTGATATCGCACGAGAAGTGAGACAGACGTCATACCCAGCTATGCGGAAGATTGTTTACATGAAAACATGTCTCAGTCTTAAGGGGATCTACTCAATCTACCCACCAGTATTTCAGATAATGTTTCAGCGTGTCATGGGTGTCATGAATATAACTTCTACCTGTCACTTTTTCCCGTTGTTTGCCACAGAAGTCCCAGCTGTCCCACCTCCTGCTTGGAGATCACGACATACCCCTCACCTGTCTGGAGCAAGTAGTAACAGGTACGTCTGGTGTCACATCACATTTCTGGCCAACATTGTCTTTTTTTGCAGGTTTGTTATTTGTTATTAATCTATTATAATTTTGTTTAATCACTTGACAATATACCCCAAACTATTGGTGTCCAAATGATAAACACGACAGAAAAGAAAGCTAGTCTTAGCATTCGAAACTGTATTAAGCAGATTAAAACTTGTACTCAGCCGACTGCTTTAAAAGGAACACTTAGCATCTTAAACAAGTCATTCTACAAGAGTGATCTACAATCAGAATAAAGTCAGATTGCTCCCTTATCAATGTTTGACAGCTTGGTGGACTGATGTCGTTTGTTGCTCTTTCCTGCTCAGTGATCTGATAACAAGTGATGTCACAGCTCAGGCAGTGTTTAGTGGCAGCGCAGCAGGGCGGGGATTAGCCGTGTTTATGTATCACATTGCATCGATTGCTGACACTGCAAGGGCAACTGCCCAGAGCGCGCTTTGTTGTGTTACAGTGGTGAGGCACGAGGCTTGTTTTTAAACTGCTACTGAAGACACTATTATCATTGTGGAATTTGCACAAGTATGGGAGCATAAAGAATAAGATACAAATATAATCAAACATGAATATGTTTTGCTGATGCTTTCACACAATATCTTATTGTCAGGGTCAGGTGGTATGGTATCCCTGCCAAAGTCCCAAATATTATGTAGCTTCATATTGAAATGAATGAATGTCAAGTGTAATCCACAATGGCATATCTTTAGTTGAAGTTCATTGCTAACTGTTATAGTAGTAATAGTGCATCACTTTTCCTGTAATTTGATGATTATAGGATGAACATTAAATATTTGGTCAAGCTCATCCAAGCTGCTTCTAATGTTTTTTTCTAGAATTTGTTGCCAAGCTCTTATTTTGCATCTCTAATCATTGGAAATTGCATTCATCTGTTGTGTTTGTTTGTTCCTGTCAGTTAATGATACAAAAGGGAAGAAGAAAGTGTTGGGGTCAAACCAGAAGCTGAAGTTTAACCCGACGGAGCTCATCCTCTACTGCAAAGACCTGCGCATCATAAGGTTCTGCTTTGGCGAGGCTGGGCCTGAGGGGGCCAAAAAGGTGAGTCATGGGCCCACTGGATTTATACGTGCCACAATTTTAAAGAATGCATTCAGATTACACATATTGTCTTTAACATCCTAATGCCCTACCTCCAAGTGACTAATTGCTCAGTATTAATCATCCGTTCTCCTTTTCTCGGTGTCCCTTATCCATTCACTGTTGCTGACCAAACTTTTCCTTTCCTGACTCTGAGCTCAATACAAACACACACTCACGACCACTTCCTCAGTGACAAAGATATTTATATCTTTAAAACTTTGATGTGCCACTTTCTCACTCCCTCCATCTATATAGAAACAATTCACTTCTCTAAATGCATTTCAGTGTGGCCATTAGCCCCGCAATGAGTAAGAGACATTGAGAACAATGCTTATTCAAGCCAAGGAAACTGAGAATGATCCTGATTGTTGGAACGACTGGCAGCGTGACTCTGACTCATCTCCTGCACAGAGAGTAGATGGACAGATGATTCAATCTTCACACCAGTTTAGAGATCTGTTTTATATAAATGCCAGGATATATTGATATGTTTGGATGTTTAGGGGATGGATAGTGCGGTAGTTAGATAGTTGCACACATTATAAATGAAAGGAAGTCCTTGTAATGCAGATACAGCGACCAATCATGTCGAGGCTTTACCTTTTTTAATCCAGCTAAAATAATGTACCATCACAGAAATTGGTGAAAGTGCCTTAAAGGCCAAGAAAACATGCATTTCCTTAGTTTCATCAGCCAGTTGTTTTGTGAGTTGAGCTGTTGTGGTAACCAGCAGCAATGCAGGCTTTACTGACCTCTTAGACCAGAGAAAATGTAAGTCGTTTAGTCATGTTTTATAAAGACATACAGCTAATATTACATTTTTCTGTGAAAATTTAAAAAAGTTTGTATTCAAGTTCAGAAACAAGAATCAGCCAAGAAAAATTAATTGTTGCAAATACATATAAACTAAGAAGGTTTCAACAACCTTCCAGACCCTAGGAACATGTGATCTCTCACCAAGGTATCACCAACAAACTCCAGACATAGCCAAAAGTAAGAAAACAAACATTCTTTATTTGGTTTATCTGCAATTGTAAGTGTTCTGTAAATACATGTGTATTTGTTAATTATGTACACAAATGTCTCCAGGAGCTCTTGGCTTCCCCCAGCCTCACTACACAGCCCCTGAGAGTCAGGCAGCTGAATATCTCTCGACAGTGTGCCAGTGAAAAGGGCCTGAGTGTGAATGTACATAGTTGCATGGCTGATCTCCTCCCCTGTCATCTGGGAGCAATTGTTGTGTAGGTATTAGAGGACTTGGAGCTCCACAGCAAATACCTGCAGCACATTTGGCTAACAGTATGCATCAAACAGTTTTATGACCAGCGGTGTTACGAGTCCCTTTTGAATTCATTTAAAAAATACAGCAGGCTCTTTATTTGTTTGACTCTGCTATGGGCTCAGAACAGTCTCATAATAATACATACATGCACACAGAAGGATTCCCATTTCCGGATCCACACTTGTGTTTTTCAATGCACACACAATGTGTTCCGTTTCATATACATGTAAATAAAATCCAAATACAGAAAAAAGTTTTACATATGTATTTTTGATCCACACATATTTGTTTTCCGTTTAAAACCTCTGAACCTGCAAACACAAACCGCTTTCTGTGCACGGATCGCTGTGCATTCGTGTGTGGGTTTTTTGAGATTCCCCTGATGGTCAGCCGATTCGTACTTGTAATGTTTTCTATCTATAGCCAATCAGATGTCTCCTCAATTCTAAGCCAATCACATGAGCGCGCCCCCACGAGGGTAGATTTCTTGCGTTCATGACGTAGCACTTCATGTACGCATTTTGCGCAGTCCGGAGCTGACAGGTCCATGGAGCCTGCCTGCAGGCGCTAATCTCAGGACACCTCCACTCTCAGTACAATTGCCACTTTCCGAACAGGAAATGCACGCAAATACAAGCCTTAATATTATTAAGCTACAGCGCCACTTTCCAAACCATTGATGAATGCTTGGACACAAAAACGGCAGGCAAAACCGTTCTAAATGTGTGTTTCCTGTATGACGAATACAGCTGCTTTATATGTCTGTATGAAGTTGTTGTGAGTGTGGAGGGAGCAGCTAACGGGTTAGCTTAGCCTAACCGATCAGTGCACTACGAAGCCAGTGCTAGACAGTGAACTTTCAACAGGGAATCATTATCGGCCGATATTCACTCTAAATAGTTTGATCGGTGCTCTCTATAAAGGCCGATCAGGAGAGCTGGATCTGATCGATATGGACATAAACGCGAGTGAAGTATAACCGGACGCGAGAGAGAGATCAGATCAGCTGCTGAGTCTGACGGAGACACGCAGCTCTGCATGATCACCTGAAGCTCCGCCCTCTGTTTAGCGAGCTGACCGGACAGCGCAAAATGCGTATATGAAGTGTCATGAACGCAAGAAATCATACCCTCGTGGGTGCGCGCTCATGTGATTAGCTTAGAATTGAGGAGACATCTGATTGGCTATAGATAGAAAACATTACAAGTACAAATCGGCTGACCGTCAGGGGATTCTCAAAAAACCCACAGACGAATGCACAGCGATCCGTGCACAGAAAGCGGTTTGTGTTTGCAGGTTCAGAGGGTTTAAACGGAAAACAAATATGTGAGGACCAAAAATACATATGTAAAACTTTTTTCTGTATTTGGATTTTATTTAAATGTATATGAAACGGAACACATTTGTGTGTGCATTGAAAAACACAAGTGTGGATCCGGAAATACAAGTGTGAATCCTTTTGCGGATCATGAAATACAAGTGTGAATCCTTTTGCGGATCATGAAATACAAGTGTGAATCCTTCTGTGTGCATGTGTGTATTATGAGACTGTTCTGAGCCCATACTCTGCTGCTTACAACCTAATCTGCAGGGATGATTATGAATAGAGCACTGAAAATAGAAAATGAGTCTGCCCCCCCTCACTACTTGTGGGTGTATTTATGGACACCATGTATATAATTACAGTGTGAACCTAAAACCAGGCTCAGTTCTTTTTTTCTTTTTCTTGGTGACATACCCAACCTATAATAGCTTATTTTGCCATAGGAAATTACAGAGTTGAGAGCAGCCTTGACTACACACACACACACACACACACACACACACACACACACACACACACACACACACACACACACACACACACACACACACACACACACCTACCTTTTTTGTGTCCTCTCCTGAATGGCAGGCTTTGTGTGACTCCAGTGGAGCCACAGTGAGCTTCCTGTTAACCCAGGGCCGTAGGCTGAGTGTTAAACATTTTCTTTCCCAGGTTTCACTTGTTCTTCTTTTTGTATGACTAAAAGATATTCCTCACTTTTAGACCTCTGAGTGTTTCTGAGATTGGAAGCTGAAACGTAATGTTTAATTTATTCCTCCATTCATGTTTAATCATATTGTTTTGTATTGTGCATGTCCAATACTTATTTTTCTCCCTTTTATTCCAGGTTTGCCTTGCTATTGCCCACTATTCCCACCCAGCTGATCTTCAACTGCTGTTTGGCTTTGAGTACCAAGGGCGGCGCTATCATGAATCTAAAGGTAGGCATATAGAGTAGCATGTCAAATTTATTTTATTGTTTCTTTAAAGGTCCCCTATTACACTGTTTTTCATCAATATATTCCAGGTCTCAGATATATACAAAACATGTCTCTCAAGTGTTTGGCTCCAAATACCAAACAGATCATGCATAGTAGCATCCCATAATCCCCTCTGTTTCAGCCCTGTTTCAAAAGAGCTGATTCTCTGTCTGTTACTTTAGATGAAAATAAGGAGCCACTCCCCACGCCCCTCTGAGAGATATTTGGTTAAAAAGAACCCAATGGTGCTCTAGGAGGAGATTCAGGTGATAAGGTGGTGGTGGGGGGGGTGGGTTACCTTGGTTGGTGATTGGCTAATGGTGACACAAGCCAAAAAAACGTTATGATATCATAAAGTGGCCAAAATCTGATTCGCTCATTTTCAGTCATATAAATGGATCAGGACAAAAAGTGAGCGAATCTTTTTTCCTGAAGCTTTCAGAATCTCTTTACACAGAGGGGGGGATATCTTTATGTATAAAAGACATGAAAAAGTGGATTTTGCACAATAGGTGACCTTTAAGACATAGCAAGTTCTTTTTTTACTGTTATCTTTGTATATTCATGTATGTGTATTTCCAGGGGAGCGAGTCAATGGTTCCACCCCACGTGAAGGATTACGGACCCCCATATTTGACCGCCCCTCGGACCTGGATCGGGAGATCAAGAGAACAGGAGCATCAGAGTGGAGAGTGTGCTCCATCAACGAGGGCTTTGCCATCTCACAAAGGTTTTCAGCTTGTGTTGTTTGATGCTTGCTATTCACCAGCAGTATAGGCAGAGCATGTCTGTAGTTCCCTCACTTGGCCTTAGCTGTTGAATGCACTAAATGTCCCCTCTACTCATACCTAGTATGTTTTGGCAAGACAGTATATTTACACTGTAGGCCTTTTTTCCTTGCTTCATACGAGACTCAAGAAAAAAAACTGAATGTCTCGGTGTAACATGCAGGTCTGCTTTTAACAATACATGCTATTCATCGGAGTTCAGTGGTGACATCATGGTGGGTTTGAAGTAAGGATTGTACTGTGTTAAATGGACTACAAATTGCATAATGGTAGTTTGCAAAAAGCAGTACACATAACATGGGGCTAAAAACAATACTCACACTCTACTCGGTTTAAGTATATGAGGGGAAACTGAATAAAAGAAACTCACTATAAAAGCTTCTCAGCAGTTCAGATATTTGTTACAGGCCCAGCAAACCCAGTGTTAAATGGTTAGTAACAATACAATCATGGCTTTTACTACCTTAAATATGATGGTATGGCAAGAGGCGAAACACTTTGACTTATTTGTATGTCTTTCTAACAATATAATTGAAATTGTTTTATTTAATGGTGCCTTGGTCTTTGATTCCTGTATAACAAACCTCTTTCTCTCACTCTTCCTGTTAGTCTCCCAGAGTACATTGTGGTCCCGGTCTCTCTGGCAGACGAGGATCTAAAGAAGTATTCCGTATTCTTCACTGACCAGCGCATCCCTGTGAGTTTTCTGATATCTGCATTAACACTGTGCCGCAACACTTTTCATTTAGCTCATGGATGTATAATAAGAACTGGATACAGCGTGGGAGGCGGGGTCTCGTTCTTTCCTATGAAAGCTGCTCATTGGCGCAAAATGAAGGCAAAATGGCCCAACTTTTGAGAGAGCGAAACGTCACAGATTGTCCATCAAGCCTGGCTGCCACGGCAGAAGAACCCGTATGTGCAGTCATAGAGCATGCGCCCCTTAAGCCCCGCCTCCTAAGCTCCCACTCTCGGCTCACTAGAATGAATGGAGAGATACAATAAATCTAGATTTGGCTTTTAGTGCATTTTACAACTTTAAGGACTTAATGATTCTAATAAGGGCTATAAAATTGTTCATACTGGGTAGTTTATTTAGTTTAAAAAAAAAAGTATCCACTGATTTAAAGACGTCTCTTTCCCCATGTTAGTCAATGGGAAAAAGTGTTTCTGGGCCTAGTGACGTCACGGACTGATACGGAAATTGTAGTACCGCCGTTTGGACACAATTAATTTTTGGCAAAGAGTCCGGCGCACTTCCTGGGGGCTTGATTTAGCTCAATGTACTTCCGGGTCAGTTCGGCAACACAGGTTCATCGATTTTTACTTTGAGCTTGGCCTTAAATATAAAGATATAACATCAGTGCTTGGCAATAGGCACGAGTTTCACATAAGTGAAAGACACCTCAAGAGAACACTCAGAGCGAGGGGACATATTCAAAATAGGTGTTATACTGTAAGAACAACATAACCATTGATGTGTTAAGAGATTTTGGTAGCACCTCATCTTAAAAAAATGAAGTTATTGAATTTTTCTACAAGTATATATTTTCGGCGTAGCAGTTTGTAGACGGCCCCTAAGCACTCCTCTCTCCTCCAGCTGCACATTGTTTGCCTGTCTGGCCATTGTAATCGGGCTCTTTGAAGATCCAAAAATCCACAGTTTTCTTAAATTTCTGATCGGATTGGCAAAAACTTCAGAATTTGAATTGACCGCCATTCAAATGACAGCTTTGTTTTCCCCCAAAAGTCGGCGGAGCTGTAATTTTTGCCCGGAAGTGACTCATGTGTTACTCTCATCTATGCTAACGCTAACGCCACATTAGCATCAGAGATCTTTTCTACTTCATGCTATCTGCACAAATGGTTAACATTGAACATTAAAAAGATCAGGCAGTTCAGGGAGAATCGCAGGCAGGCAGGCAGGCAGGCAGGCAGGCAGGCAGGCAGCTTTGCATGACATTCTTCTGGACGTGTTTCATTGTGGTGATAGTGAGGGTAGGCAATCCCTTGTTTGGCAAGACAGTAGTGACGGCCATCTTGGTGATGTGTGTTGTTGTGCGAGACCAGAGATGCAGTTCATTGAGCGGTTTCAAAAAAAAAAGTCTTACTTCAAAGTTTTACGGCAAAACATTTTTTTTTTTACTTGCAAAATTATCTTTTAAATTGACAAACATCATATGTGTAATTCGTGGCACCATTAAACGGGATCGAAAGATAACATACTCTCGCCATTGACTTCAATACATAATTTTGCGAAATAGGGTCCCATGGAGGTCCCCCGGAAAGGGAGGGACTTCGCCTCTATTGCGAGATCTCGCAAACATTTTTTTTTTTTCAAACACATTATTTTTTCTTCTCCATGTCCCCTAGGGGGCTCCGTAGGTTGCCGAGCTTTGCTTAGTACAACTTCATTTATCTCTATTTATTATTAGGCTTATAATGTAATTGTAACAGCACATATAGGAACACTAATAGACTAATAACTATCTGTTGTACACCAGTTGAATAAACTTTAGCATCCCTTTTATTTGCTGATTAATTTCTGTCCTTGTAGCTCTGGTGCTGGAATCATCCAAATGGAAGTGCTCTGGTCCGCATGGCCGTCATAAGTGATCCATTGCAGCAGAGGAGGATCGATCAGAAGTACACCAACTCCTTTACTTTATTCAGATTTCAAAATGTCTATTAAGTGTGGAATCTGGAATCCAAAAACAGTCATGTTGAACTGCACTAGTGGAAAACATTTAAGTTTCATCTCATTTTGATAAAAATCTTAACCGGTATTATTTGGTACAGGTATTTGGTAATGACGTTGAATATGCTAAAGTTCTATATAAATATATCAATGATGATGATGTATTGCAGAGATGTTGCCATTGCTGTTTTAAGACCTCTCGTGTTTTGTGGTAGGGTCTTCACTGCCATCACAAAAAGCCACCCACAGCGCAGTGAAGTCCTCAGGTCAGATCTGGACAAGTGTCTGCCCAACATCCAGGACATCCAGAGTGGTTTTGTCAAAGTCAGGCAGATCTGCGTCATAGGTGAGCCGAATCACAGTCAATCTGCATCTCCATATACCTGTGTATACGTGTGAAATACATCAAAATGTACCTTTTTTTCAAATGGGAACATTTCTTCTCATACTTGTGTATAGTTTTGTAGATGTTTTTAAGTGTTTTGATTGTGTGCAGATCATTTTGAGGAGTCAGACGAGAGGTGGTTCTCATCTATTGAAAACTCAAGATGGCTGGAGTATGTGAGGTATGTAAACAACCTGAGTCTTTATAAACTTTATTAAAAATTGAAATATTATGCTGGTGTGATGTTCGTTTTAACTTTATAATTCCATCTGGAACATAACAGCCCTTCACAAACAATTTGTATTGACAGTCTAAGTTAAGGTTAACGAACACATCCTTTTTTTACTGTTTAAGTTATCCAACTAATGTAATTATGCTGTATCATTGGAAATACATTGTGTGTGAAAATGAATGGACATTTATCTCCTGTTTGTGACTGCAGGGCTTTCCTGAAGCACTCAGCAGAGATAGTGTACCAGCTGGATGGAAAGAATGCTTCAGTCATTCTTCAAGGTAAACTTAGCAACCGCATATTTTCTTTACTTTATTGCATGATGGTGAACTTCACTTTAGATTTTCCTGATCCATTGATTGTGATATTGTAGCAACGTGACTTTGAACATTTCAATTTCATCCAACAGCAGGTGTAAAACTCTTTGAATCTGTATTTGTTCTCCCTGTACAGAGGAGGAGGACAGAGACCTGAACTGTGTGGTGTCCTCCCTGGTGCAGCTCATGTTGGACCCTCACTATCGCAGCCTCGTTGGCTTTCAGAGTTTGGTGCAGAAGGAGTGGGTGATGGCTGGCCATCGCTTCTTAGACAGATGCAACCACTTAAAGAAGAATGACAAAGACGAGGTATTTGTCAGACAGTTTAAAACCAACTCCGATCTAATATAAATGCCAAGACACTAACGCTTCCTACATGTTTTTCTCCCACTCTCTCTCTCTCTCTCTCTCTCTCTCTCTCTCTCCAGTCCCCGCTGTTCTTGCTGTTCCTGGACTGCGTGTCGCAGATGATGAGCCAGTACCCGGCAGCGTTCGAGTTCACAGAGTCCTATCTGACTGTCCTGAGTGACAGCATGTGGATCCCACTCTTCAGTACTTTCCTCTTCAACTCTTCCAAACAGCAAGCTAAGCACTTGATGGTAAGAGACACAAGATTCAAGGCTTTTATTGTCATTCGTACATAGCTACAGTGTAGTTATGTCGATGTTTTGCACTAAATGCAACGGATTCCGCCATGATCCTAAATGATGTTGAAATGAGAACATGATTTTTTTTTAAATTATTGTTGCTTAATAAAAAGATGTGTACATAACCAATGCACAAACCTCTGATTTGTGCTTGTTTAAAGGGGTTATATTAGATGTCTGAATGTCCAAACTCAGTGGTCCAAGACCAATGAAAGCACTTGTCATAATTCCAGGTGACAGTGTGTAACAAAGCAACATGTTTTTGTGGTTTACTTTCTCATGTCAAAGACTGAAATGTCCTTCTGCATGTGTCAGATCATTTACTGGAAAGAGTGCAACGTATTCTAACAGATAAGAACACATTTAGCTTGTGGTCAGAAAAATACTGTTGACACTTCCAGATTATAAATAACCTTGTGTTTGCTGGACAGGACTTTGCCAAGAATAAAGCCATCCCTCACGGAGAAGACCAGGTTGTGTACTTCCCTCCGGTTTGGGACTGGTCGCAGCAGTTCTCCCCCAAAGACCAAACCCTCTTCAACAACCCCATGTACGTCGGCAAAGGAGCGGCCTGCGTTCAGAATGGAGAAGTGAAGACCTTCAGACGCACAAAGGTACACAACACACTGAGTTTACGGTTTTATAGCAGCAGTAGCAGCACATGGTTTTAGATGCCGTCTTTTACTACCTTCGATAAGCAACACTTGAATTACAGTGTGGACTTTCAACCTCAGTTTAGTTGTTTGCAGCCATGTTGAAAACAAGTTGCAAGGTGGTTTAACGGCAAGGACTTTTTAAAGTCTGCATACAAGTTTTAAACTTCTGTTATTCGGTAAAAACTTTAAATCACAATTGTATTTACTTTTTTTACTATTTGAAGTAGGAACATTTTTATCCTAATTTTTAATGTTTAAGTTTTATTTTTATTCTGCAGGTTGGGTATCTAGAGTGTAAATACATTGTAGATACCTCTATAGTTTCTAAATAATGTAGGTTGCCCACAACTCCAAAGCTTTCTTTTTTTGAAGGTCAAAAGATCAATAATCATGTGTAGGTATTTCCGAAATAGGTCAGCTTTGTCTTCTGCCCTCTTATGCTTCAGGCTGTTAGATATGACCATTTGATGATATGCATTTTGCTGAAATACACACTATTCCTGATGGAGTAAATGTTTAACATGAACAATCCGTCCAGTCAGCAGTTCTGATTACTGCAACTGAGATTTTATGGTTACATAAAGAAAAAATGGTCACATAGCTCTAGTTGATTCCCACTAAACGAGTGTGTCCTTCCTCCAACAGAAGGCGTACAGCCACACGCTGCGAGGGATGCCTGCGTCTCTGCGCAATGGGACGAAGGTCGGGGAAGACACGTTGACCCGGCGGGGCTCCCTGGTGTCGGAGCTGAGGTCTGATTTCTCCCCCGTTAAAGACGAAAGCCCGTCGGAGCGCTTCTTCAGAGACTGGTTCTCTCGCCCCACGGACCAGCAGGGCCTCCTCATCCCGCTGCTCGTGCCCTCGCACCTCGCTCTCTGGAAGCTCTACTTCCTGCGCTGGGTTCCTGAAGCCTGCATCCCCAAAGGAGGCCCCGTCACCGCTTACCGCAAGCTCTCCCAACTGGTCGACGAAATTGAGATTCTGCAGAACCGGCTCAGGCAGTATAAAGGACGTGGTCCCGGCAACGGGCCTCTCCCCAGCCCAAGTGGGCCCCTCTCAGACCAAAGGAGGATGTATTTTAAGGCCAGTTCCCCACATGACCCCCCTTCACCTTCTGACGTCCTTACCTCCTCCTTCCCCTTCTCTCCAACGGGTAACCTGTGTCGCGGCGGTAACCATGGGACCCCCATTAGCAAATTCCTGAACGGGGCGAGGATCTGGCTCTCTACGGAGACTCTGAACGACACTGTCTGAAGAGGGGGAGGGGGTTTGTGTAACAATAAACCTTCTTATTTTATTTTTCCTCTTTCTTTAATACTAAGAAGGAAAATGGAAAAAATTAAACTTTGGATTTCTGATATATTAATTATTTATAAGCTAGCAGTAGCACGATGCTGCATTGAAATCTGAGGTCCTTTCTAGCCTGAAGCGCCCTCTATAGGACTGAATCCTTAATCACCATTACAGCAGAGGAAATTAGATGATCTAAAGCACATCCTCCTTATTGGCCAAGGAGTTGTTGTTGTTGTTGTTGTGAGGTCTCCTGACTGCGAAAGATTGTAATACAAATTGTTTTAATATAATTATTTTTTGGATCTTCTTGCGGTCTTTCTCGAGATTAGTTGGATGACTGCTCTTTTCTGTTGAGCGTCCTGTACGACCAGAATGAAGAGCGCTTTTGGAGATGTTTATATTGAGTTGAGAGCCTTTACCTTTTGACACATTTTCACTGGTCAATACGACATCCCCACTGTTATGGAAATGAGAAATGTTATCCACATATAAATGCTTTGAATTAGAAAATGCCCGTTTTTTTACTGCAGCATTAATGATGCATTTTCACCGAACCAACTAATCCATTTGTTTTGTACCTTCCAGGAAAAGAAATGTACAATATAATAACTGATGTAGTTTTTACTTTAGAAAGAGGAACAGAAAATAACACTGCTTCTACATATTGTAGATGTGTTAAAACAAAGAGGATCTGTCATGGCTGAATGTAATGGGGCGTTTTTCCTTTGCATAAGCTTAATGCTATTTGCTCCAAGTGCCCATACAACTATGGTTATATTGAAAGTCTCACTCTGTGCAGCAAATAGTGTGATTTGAGGGTTTGGCTTTGTAGATTTACGCTATTTTTGAAGCCGAGAAAAGGGCCTATACTTTCAGTATCATAAAGCAGGTGATATTCAGAGGGCAACGTGGAGATGTGAGAGCTTCAATCTGTGGTAGATATTTCCTCTTCTCTTTCTGAAGGGGTTCTATTCAACTTTTATACAGGCCTTCTGGTAAGGCTCTAATTATAAGAAGAACAAACTGTTCATAACAACAGTACCTGCATGGGTAAATATTTTAAGCAAAAGGACAGACAAGGGCTTTGATTCAAACCAGTCTCTAGTTTGGATGGCACTGATCCAATTAACCAGACCGTAATGGGTTGATGACGAGTGACAAGAACATATCAGCATTAAGCACCTGGATAGCAATGTGTGATATTTTGTCCACAATGACTTCAGTTCACACTGGTTGTTAAAGGAAGGCCTGATACAAAGGGAAAGGCTTAACATACTGTATGTAGCTTTAACAATAGTCACTTTGAATAACTTGTGTTCTTGTTTTTTTGCCAGATAATGCTTCTCTGGTTATAGGAATAATGTAATAAAGTACAAGTAGTGATTCTGTACTTTCAGTCAGGGTAGTGATGGCAAGGTTAGTGAGTTAAGATGTTCACAGGTTTAAATGAGGAAATCAGAGACATTTTCAAGCAAGCTAAAGTTCAAGTGCTCTGCAAAGACTTCTGGAGATCCTTTCAAAGTGTCTGCTGAACTAGAGAGGGGTTTGAGATGAACCAGGGGAAATGGATCAGTCATCCAGATCCCATTTAAACTAGGGAGGAATTAGCACTGTGTAATGTCTTTTCATTTCTTAAAATAACAGTACAGCATTTAATATATACATTAATACCACTGGACAGTCTCAACATCTGTCCTCCAACACAGGAGCATCCACCCTTAGACGCTAGATTGAACACGTTTCTATAGCAATAACTAACTAGTTCAGGTGTTTGTTTTTTTATAAAGAAGTGTGTATAGAAGTCAACCTGCTCTCCCAAATGCTATTAATTGCACATTTAACTCAAGATATAGGATAGTTTGTTTGAAAGTGATTGCTGAATATCATTTTTGCAGATATTATAAATACTGTATATGGTTGAAATCTCCCTATTAATATCTTTGATTAATGGTACTAGATTACTTTTATCTTAGATTCAGTCTTTTTGTTTTCTGGAGAGATTTTGATATGCTATGTTCTTCCACCACTTCACCATGTTGCACTCTGCTGTAATTGCATGACGACTGTGCTCCCACAGTTTGATATTGAAGAGCAGCAGATGTATTCAGATATGCAGATGCTCTCTAAGAGGGATGCAAGGGCTACTGTACATCCCCCTGTGCCTTGTTGGGAAGATTGACCATTTTTTTAACTAAATTCTAAATATATTGACTTATTTTAGTTTTTCTAAAACTGTTGAGTTATCAATTCTGTAAATCTATAGTAAATTCACTGGTAATGCACTGAAGCTGTTTTTCCTGACCAAGAATAGGGCTTGAATGTGTACCAGTAACCAATCATTACAATATTTTTCAAATGAACTTGTGTCCTGGCTTTTATTTCACTGGATTCTGACTCAATAATGCAATGCTTTTTCTATTAAAGCTTGGGAGGGCTCTGGAAAAAAAACGAGCAACCTTTTGTTTCTGTAATAATGAGTCTACCTTCCTTTCTCCTTGCATACACTCATCATCTGTGATGACTTAATTGAATAAGCTGTTGGTGGAGTTAAATTATAATTCTAAATAGAGAACATAAATCACTTAAACCAACTAAGCCACAACACCAAAGTCACAATCTACTATCATAATTAATATTAATGTATTTTTCAGGATTTCTTCTACATCTTGTTGTTTAATTATATCCATTATTTTGATTTGGATTGACAAAGAGGAACTCAACACCGGAAAAAAAAAAATGGTGTGGTTAAGGTTATTGAGATTGTTATTTAGAAGTATCCTTAAACACGTAAAATCTACTTGAAGCATTTCCATAGGTAAATGTGTCTATGGAAGTTGTTGGTTTAAGGCACTGCTGGGATTTGAACCCAGGATCTCCTGTTTAAGGCACTTTGACCAACTAAGCCACAGCGTCAACATTAATTGTATCTGTTATATGATAAACCTAAGATACACCTGCTCCCCCTACTGTACAACATCACAATAAGGGAAATACATTATAATTCTGTCAGAAACACATTCTTTCCATATATCTATACGTCTGTCTGTCTTTCTATCTATCTATCTTGTCTATCTGTCTATCTGTTTATCTATCTTGAAAAAAAACAGGAAATTGAATCAATTTGGTGACGTCATTGGTGAGCGCCTATGCTGGCCTTCGAAATGGGCTCGACTCCTTAGCCTTGATTTCTTCAATTGTCCCTCCGCATATCAACTTTTTATAAAGAAAAGCCTCTTCGCGATGACATTTGGAGGTACGTGCAAACAATGACTCAAAGCAGAGCCATATTTTATAGGCATGTCTGCCAATTGCCATGTTAGTTATGAAGACTGAAGGCAGTTAATGTAGCTTGTTGTAGCTGTGTTAGCCGTGGAGCTAACTAGCCGGAACCTCTGGGCTGGTGCCCAGAGATACATTACAGAGAAAGCTTAACTGTCTCATATACCATTATTTATCATTTGAACTCACTTATACGTTTAGTGTTCGTGTATTACATGTCATTCTGTCACTTTCCATTGTTTATGCTAAAATGACGACTCGAATGTGCTAGCTAACTTTAGCTAAGTCAGCCACTGTGCTAGCTAACGGTAAACATGGTTACTCTAAAGGGAAGTGAAGCGGCGATTAGAAGAAAACTTTGACATTTATAAAGCAAAGGTTTCCTATACAGTGCTGTTCAGGGTTTTGTTGCAGTACAAATGTTTACTGAGTATTCTGGACAATGTGTTAAATGAAACCAGGAACAGACTCGAGTCTGAATCATAGACAAACACAGAGCTGTTCGAAGTTACATTTAGCATAAATAAGAACTTGCTTCTCTTGGTATTACTTCCAATGACCAAATGTAATGTTATTATCCACATTTATCTGCTCAATGAGCGCAGGAATGTACACCTGTCATGAAAAGGACAACAGAAAACGGTTGATCAAATTTTCGTTTGTTTTTTTACGATAGAATAATCTATATAATTACAGTAAAACTAAGAGGTAATAGCTGAGATGTTGCTTATGGTATATTTTCTGGTGTACTTATTTTGTTGTGATTTAACGGGATGGACGTCCTGCAGCTTATGCTGAACAATATCTTAGCATCATACATTACATTACAAAAGAGAGGTACTTTTTGCCATTTCACATTTCTGATGTTGGGAAAGCCCACGGTGTTTGAACCTCCGGTGGGTGAGTCATTTAGGCTCGTGCTCTCCACCCAAGCTTTGCTCAAACTTGCGAAACTTAAATTGAAACCCTAGTCAAGATGCCAAATGTTTCTGCATTAGCTATATTTTGATTGCTGGATTGAGAGTAAACTATACTTTACACATCTAGAAATAGTCCACTAAATAGAGTGATACAGCAGAAAACTGTTGGATTGTTTGACATATTGAGAAATCATTATATTATTAAAACTTGTATTCATTCTCAAAGAAGAGTTGGTTTAACAGACACATACTATTTATGATACTATCACTGTAGAATAAGATAAGATGTATAGATGTGTGTGAATTTGGGGCTGGAATCACAGGTCTCATGGATGATTCATATTATAAAATGATAATAAGATCCTGTTTTTTTTTGCTTTTTGTTCCAGGTGAATTGGTAGACAAGGTCAGCCAGTTGATTTCAACACTGGTTCCTGTGCAGGCTGACTGGCTTGCAACTCTCACTTCCTGTGCAGTACAATAAAGCGACTTGCTTGGTCAGAGGATTGCGATGAAACACGCTCAGGAACGCAACCAGGAGTGCCTGCCTCCTAAGAAAAGGGACCTCCTGGTTTGTAACAGCAGTGGAGGGGCAGGAGGAGCCGGGGCTGCAGGGGGGGGCAGCAGCGGAGGTGGCAGTAGAGCTGGCGGAGGTGTTGGAGAAGATGATTTGGTTTCCATCCAGAACTCTGCAGCCAACAGTGACACTCAGGGAGGATCACCGTCGGGAGAGTGGCTGCGAGCTCAGCCAGGGCTTCATTATGGGATGGAGAATTCTGAAGGCATGCCAGCAGTGCCAGTTGACCAGTACAGTATGCTGTACAAAGTGGCTCTTCCCTCTGTCACCTACGCGCCTACCAGTCTTCACCCAGTGCTAAGCCATATCTCTCAAGCCTACACTGTACACTCCCCTCTCCTGCAGCATCCAGGCCTTTCCTACCCTCCCCTTGGTTATGCCCAGATTCCGCATTCCTCTCTCCAGTTTGTCAGTTCCCCTTATGCAGCCGTACCTTACGCTCTACCCCCTGGCTTTGTCCCGGGATCATTAATCTCTCCCTCAGGCACCATTCCTCAGTCCCATGCTGTCTCCCACCTTGTTCCCTACCCCTCTGTCTTACCAGAAGGTGTTGTTTCCCCACCTCCTCAGGCCCAGTTAGCCACTCATACCTTTGCCAAAGTTTCAGCATCAGGTGGCGTCCCACTGATGCTACCCTCAGAGCAATCTGCCCAGCAGCACCTTGGTGCTGTGGGAGTTCTGCCTGCATCAGAGCTCGGCTCTCGAGGGATGCCACTCTTCTATCACCCTCAGGGCGCCAGGGCGGCCACCAGAGACTCCCACAGTGCCCAACAGGACAATGAGCCAGAGATGAATGGAGGCGATAAAGAGCAGGGGGCGAGGGAAGTCATACTGGACTCTGCGTACACTGCCAGAAATGCACGTCTGCTGCAGGTAGCATCCAACTCTGCAGCCCAGGAGTACAGCCAGGACAGAGGAGGGCTGAACCGACGGCTGGAGGAGAGGGGTTCCCCTGGCCAGCGCAGCAGCCCAGACAGCGACCTGGAGGTAAGGCACACTGATAGTCTCCTCATTAGACACATGATTCCTTGTCAATCTCTTTTCCTAACTTTTAGCAGCAGATGGAGAAATATGTTTTTTATATACAGACTTTTCCATGGGAGGAGATTAAGAATATCCTGATTAACAAGGTTAATACAAGCTTTTCCCTGCTCCTTTCTGATGATGTGTTTATAATATTGTCACATGTTGCAGCTCGTAGTTCTTAAATAATGGTGCAACATTATTATTGAATATTCTAGAGTATGTTTCGTAACTGTATCTCAGTATTTGAATGACTCAGTCGCACATGTTAATATTAGACTCGCTTCCTTCCTTAATTTTGTGCTGTGGTTCCAGAGATCATTTGGTAACCGCTCACACCCAATTGCCACTTGGTGCCTAGGCTTTGTTCATTATGGTTACATGGAGGTGCACAGTAAAGAAATACCAAGTAATGGCCATTGCAAGCAGCTGCAGATTCTTATGATCTTAGGACATAAAAAAAAAACAAGAAATGGTATGGCAGAATAATCGTACCTTTTTATTTTTAAGCAAAAAAAAAAGGTTTGAAGGATGAGATGAATTAAATGTATTTCTACCTTTTTAGGTGCAATAACATGCTGTGACTCAGGATGCTACTGTGGGATGATATTTGGATGTGTTAAAATAAAAGTTTGTTTCAGCAGAATGAAGTGACACATATTCCTCTTATCTACTTCCAGGTTCAGCAGGTGGTTGGCCGTTTGGCTTTCTCTAGTCAAGTGCGGAAAGAGGTGTCCTTTGCTCCTTTAAACCTCTCTCAGAGAGCCAGAGATCTCCATGGAGAGAACACAGGCATGATTTCAGGTCGGACTGCGTTCCCCACTCACACTGCGAGTTACAGTGATCCCAGGATGGCCGCTCTCCAGCAGCAAGCAGGACCACCCGGCCACGCTGTGGTGCTGGCCAATGGGCAACCAGTTCTGATTCCCTTAGAGTATCACCTGCAGCACCACCCCCAACCCCCCCAGCAGCAACACTACCATATACAGTCAAACAACGCCTCAGTCGCCATGTCCTCCCCTAACCCAGGCTTTAAAGCCTCGGATTCTTCAGCCAGAGTGTGCCTCCTTGAAAGGGTGGAGCCGACCCCAGCCCAGCAGCAGCCCCCTCAGCAGCCCCCTGTCCAGCCAGCAGCGGATCAGGCCTTAGCTTTGAGCCACGCTCCTGCCTCGGCTCCCAGCAACCCGTCTCACTTCATGAAGGGAGCCATCATCCAGCTTGCTACTGGAGAGCTGAAGCGCGTGGAGGACCTGCAGACTCAGGACTTTGTGCGCAGCGCCGAGGTGAGCGGGGGGCTTAAGATCGACTCCAGCATGGTGGTGGACATCCGTGCCAGCCAGCAGAAACCAGGTCTGGTTTCGCTTCACTTCACTGTGGGGGAGCAGCAGAGCAAAGTGACCATCGACGTGCCCCCGGAGCACCCCTTCTTCGTGTTCGGGCAGGGCTGGTCGTCCTGCAGCCCCGAGCGCACGGCGCAGCTCTACGACCTGGCCTGCCACCCCCTGCAGGTGGGGGACGTGTGTGTGTCCATCACTCTGCAGCAGCAGCCTCAGCCTCAGCAGCAGAAACAACCGCAGCACCATAACTCACAACAGCAACAACAACAACAACAACAACAACAACAACAACAACAACAGCAGAACATGTCCAGGACTTTAAGCAAGACCAATGCTTCATCAGGGCCTGGTCACCAGCTCATGGGGCCCCCTGCCCCTCAACAGTCCCGGCCTCCATCTCATTTCAGGCTGGACCGCATCCACAGAGAGAGACAGAGGGACGGTGAGAAGGAAGCAGTCGATAAGGAGGAAGCCACGCATTACGGGGCCGCTGGGCTCTCTGAGTCCCTCATAAGACAGAGTAGGACCTCAGCAGAGCACCCCAGGAGCCACAGCAGTTACCACCTGCACACAGAGGGCTCTGCTTTTGCAGGGGCCGGGCTGGGAGCAATGCAGGCTGCGCTAGGTGCTTCTCAGAGACGCTGGTCCTCACCTGGCCTCCAAAGATATGGTATGAAGGGAGACGAAGGGCCACGCCCTCAAATAAGCACCTCTGGCCACACGAGGCCCTCGTTCATCCCCCAGGAGGTCAAACTGTCCATTGAGGGGCGCTCTAATGCAGGGAAGTAGCATCACTTTTGGTAGCACGTGAAAGAGTCTGACAAGGAGAGAAAGAGGAAAAAAAGTGCGAATGTAGCCTCAGATTGTTTGAGATTTTGCACACCTAGATTATACAAACATACAAGACCTTTGTCTATCTGGTGAGAAGTTCTGGTTTGTTGGGTTGTCACTCAGCCAAAGGACACGAGCCTGTGGTTTCCCAGCCAGCTCCCGTCTGACAGGGAGCTGACGAGCTGAGTAGAAAGTATGTAGCGGATCCGATGCCCACCATAGTCCTTTGCACACTGCATTCCTCTTCCTCCCTCCCTCCTTTGTCGCCACTTCCTCATTCCCATGCTTGAGCTTACCATCACATTCAGACCACTCTTGTTTCCTTTTTGACCAAATGGTCTCTTTGGAAGACCAAGGACTATGAAGAATGTGTTGGTAGCAGAGTGAAGCTACACCTCGGCAGGTTCTGATGTTTTTTAAAGATCCCAGCCAGCGATCTTTCGTCTCCTCCATTCCTAAGATCCTGTTTTCTTCAGAAGCATTTACCCAAAAAAGGAGTGCAGTTGCTGACGCAGCGGCTCCTGCAGTGCTGTTGGCACTGTTGACGCTAACTGTCAGGTTATGTTACATTATGCTTTTCTGGCATGAGATAAAAAGCCTCTGCTGTCGGCAGAGATAGCCTCTCCCCTCCTTCCTTTTCAGGAGGCGAGTCTGCAAAGAATGAGATCCTCTCTCAGGCGAAGTGTGGCACGTCCCACTTGTCTTACAATCGAAATAGTGATAAATCAATCAATGTGTCTGTTCAGCAATCACTTTCTACTAAAAAAAAAAACGTGCTCATGCCCTCTGGTTTAATCTATGTTTGTGAATGTATTTGCATAAAAGCCAGAAATTGGAACAATGCTTTGTTCTCTATGATACGTAGAGATATCCTGCATTCCAGTATCATCAGTGAGAATATCCATAGTGTTGTCCTTTAGAAGAATCACTTCCTCAGCACCACCCCCCCTCCTCTATATACCTCAAAGCTCTCCCCACCAAAAGCAAATGTGTGTTTTTCAGAGGAGGCACTGGCTGGTCCGCACCAAAGCCACCTGTGAGAATGAGTCATGACCCTGAATCCTGCATGTGAGTGGGTCAGTGATCAGGTTTTTGTCTTTGCTCCGTTAACAAATGAAAGCAATATTTGTTTTACAGCACCCGGCCGTACGGCTCCCCCTCAGGGAGTCTGTCATCGTGGGCTGTTTTATATCCAAGGTGTCAGATCTGACCCTTTTTTGAACCCTGACCTTTAAAGGTGATGCACTATGTTGGTGTTCCTTCAGTAATTCTACACAAGCAATTATGCATGACCAATTTCTCAAGAGCTCCTTGTAGAAGCTTCTCTTTGATTCTCCATCTCACTGATGATATTTTATCTCAAGTGCATCTCCAAGTTGTGATCATTATCTTGTGTTTAACAAACACGGTCCTTTGCTTTTGTACTAGGGTATATTGTATCCAGTGGATCTTATGATTGTCTTGGATGATGTCACTCATTGATTTCACACTGACCTTGTTGATAGGGGTCACAGTTCAGTAGGTGTTTGTCATTAATGAAGGGAATATGTTTAAAGTATTGTTGCCGGTGTTTTGTGGTGAGAGCGCCAAAAGAAACTGACTTTCTTTTTTTTTTAACTCTGTTTACAAATTAGCCAAGATGGATGCTGCAGTTTCCTCCTTCTGACAGATGTTCATCCTTTGTCACTGGAAAATCCAAAAGGGTGAAATTGAATATAAGTGCAATTAGACCACACATGAAATCATTCAGAGGTTTATAATCAGACAGCATTCCTCACGCAGACATTCCCATTGAAAAGTAAATCACACAGTTCCCTTTTTCCTGAGCTTTAACCTCTGGGGAAACATCGGGTCACTTCTCATGCGTTGTGTTTCTTGGTTGTCAGTTCTGTGTGGTTTTATTCTGTCCATCAGCCCCATAAAAAAGTGTTGTCAGTCTGTCCTCTCCAACTCTCATGTTCTCCTCACCTCGTGGTTCTCTGAGTTAACCGCCTGACCCTCTGTCAGCAGGGCGGGGGGGGGGGGGGGGGGGTCCACAGAGACAGAAACACATCAACTGTCTTTATACGCAGCTTTAAAGGACAGGTTCACATTTTTTTGAAAGTCTTTTAAAACTCGTCTGACATGCCCTGTAGATGTAGATTGCCCTGTTACTCGAATCACTTGAAAAAAAAATGTCTCATTCATTATAAATAGTAGTGTTACATAACGTGCTCTGTCATTTGAGGCAGTCCTCACTGTTGCGACCTGATTGTGTATTTGCAAGAGTCTGGTAATAAGATGCATATCACCATAGAGGCGTTACACTTCAATGTGTCGCTATATTGAACGGCCAAGTATTGGGATTTCTAATATATCATATTAGGAAAACTATCGTATAACGAGCACACGGCCATATGCATTGATCTAAGTAAGCATCAGAACAGTGGGATTTGTATATTATTGTAATACTCAAGTATCAATATGTTTTAACCCTCTCTATTGTATTAATCTAGGCTTGAAAAATGTGAACCTTTCCTTTTTAAAATGCTCAGCAACGGGGGTCGAAGTCAAGAACACGTCTAACCATCAGAGGCTCATCACATCTGGTTCCTGCTGTAAGCAATATACATCAAACCTGCAAGCGTCTCACTCAGTCGTGGCATCTTCTATGCAGTAAACTCAGTATTCTACGCTTCATTGTCTTAAGTTCAACTCTGTGAAGCAGTAGGGCAGATGCAGTCATTTGAGTCTAATGTCTGGTTATAGAATGTTGCTTTAATGACCTTTTTGTAATACAAACCAGTATTTTGCTTTGCTAGTTAATTTTTTTCTCGGTAGTCCCCACATTCCTATAGTCCAGGAAGCTTTTACTGTCGGAGAAAAAGCACTCGAGTGTCACTCTTTTTCTTGTGTTCTGTAAGCATTAATTTTGCCCCAATTGCTACACCACTTCAACATTTAGTTCATCACAATGCATTTGTTGGGGTTTAAATAGTGTTGACCCCCTGTTGACCCTCACTGCAGACCCTCCTGTTCTGCCTCGAGCCTTTTGTGTTTTTGTTCTTTTTTTAGCAGTGTCAGCCACGTTAAGCAGAAAAGCTTCTTCTACCAAGATGTCCGATAATTCGTATTCACATCACTGATCGTCTGTTGCTGTAAGTAATTGCACTAAACCCCCTCCTTTTACAGTGTTTTCAACTTCTAACTGTTGGTTAAATTGAAGAGTTTGAAAATGTAAAGCACACAAAATCACAGAGAAATTGCAGGTTGTGTGTGTTTCTGTAGATAGCTGCTTTTTTTTTTGTTTGTATAGATAGCTTTGATGATGCTTGTCGATAATGCCTTAAACTCTGCTTTGTACAATGTGTGAAATCGAAATAATGGAATAAGGCTTCTGGTAAACGTGCTGTTCCCTTTTGAGACTAAGAGCAAATCAGAAATGTCTCGCTCTGACACTTTCACGCTTCGGAGCACAAATCCATATCTCTCAAAGGGTGGCGGTGTATTCCTTTTTGGGCTCAAGACAGTTCTTCTATGAAACCTGCAACTCTGTGTTAGCGTGCCGTTTTTCTTCTTCTTTATAAATTCCTTTACATTTTTAATACACTCTTTTACTTGCCTTTAATTCCTGTTGTGTGTAAATGGAAGCTCTTCTCCGCACTTTTTACAAGGTGTTTACAAGTGTCAGCAAAGAAGGGCAGTCCATTATTTCCAAACACACGCTAATGTTGTTTTTATGGTTGCACAAGTTCAGTAGTTTTTTTTACCCTTTTGAATTAATGGATAGTGTTTGATGTCTTGTGCCCCCCCCCCCCAGTCTCTGGACAACAGACTCTAGGTTTTTAGTAATAGGATAAGACAGATAGCGCTCCATCGGTGGTGATGTCATGGTTTATCAAGTCTTGTGAGGCTGGCAGTGGGGATCGTAACTCCTCTTGTGAACTACTTCCTGTTTGATCCAGCATTTAATGCAAAAGTGAATCTAGGAAGATGTAGGTGTTGCTGATGTCCAGTTAAATCGGGAAAAACAAGAACGGTTAAAAGTTTTTAGAGAAGTGTATTTTCAGATTTATTTTTGGCACAAGGCTTTTTAAGTGACGTGCAACTATCAAAAAACAGCATCTTTTTATTTTTTAAAATGCCTAAATCTGCAAAATATATGCAATGATGTAAATGTAACATTCAATCCTCAAGTATAATCCAGGTTGTTGAACTTTGTATAGTGAGTTTTAATATCGTATGGCCGTACCAATATGTATTGATCTTTATCAGAAGCCTTAGAGTTGTCGACCGAAAGTGCTCCCTTAGAATACCCTACACCTACCTGACTTTAACAAAGCATTAATATCTCTATTTTGTTTCATTTCTGTTTGTACGGTTTTTGAATAAAATAGATTTGTACTGTATATTTGTACCTCTCTGCGAACTACTTAGGGCGGTTTTGTTTTTGTTTTGCTGTTTTAATTCTATGTACTTTAAGGACACAAAGATATTGTATTTTTATTGTTACAGCTAACTTGGAGACATTGCATTTACCATGTTTGTTAAGTAAACACAATATAATATATATATATATATATATACAAATATAAATATAAACTATTATCCAACCTGTGTGCTGCGTTTCTTTGGTTGCATTTGTGTGTTTTGTATGTACTTCTCTTTATAAAACCATGATAATGCTGCAGATGGTTATGGGGGAATTCATTTAGGTTCTTAATACGGGTTAGGGAGTTTAAATTAGATTTGAATGTCAAAACTTGATCTTTACAGTATCAAGTACAGCTGGCAAATGCATTTAATGTATAGTAACTCAATGTAATACAAATCTAACCTACTTTATTTTAAATGCCACCAAGTATATAGCATTGAAATATGAAAATTATATATATTTATTTATGTGGTTTAAATTTTGATCTGCAATGTTCAGATAATTTTAAGTGGAGGGATTTAGAAAACTTGATATCTGATCTCAAAAATGTCAATTTAAAAAAAAAGTACACGTTATTGAAATTGAACCAATTTAAAGAAACCCGTGGTTAAAATTGCACTACTTGAAATTGCCTGAACATTTAAAAAAAAAAAAAGAAGCAAAATGTAAACAATCAGATGGACGGTTTTCAAAGTAAACGACTGATAATGTGAATTCAGTGGCATTTAAATGTCTAAGCTGTAAGTATTTCATGGTGACTTCATTTAAATTTGCATGCATTATTTTATTCCCCAAAACCTGCCATGTTTCTCTTATTTATTTTAGATTCCGTGGACTAGAACCTCAGAAAGACCACCAACAAACAGTAAAGCATAATTATTCTTAAACATTTAACGTTAAACTCCACCCACCCTTTGCATTTTAAGAGAACACCTTGTTAAAGAAATGCTTGGTCAGCGTCTCCATTCAAATCAATTGTGCATTTTTGTGTATAAAGCAAAATGAGAGAAGCGAGACTGGACAAAACCATTATGGTAAATGTAATGTTTATTTCCACATTCTTTACCAGGTTTCATCACGATCTGTACATCTGTTACTCCAGTAACAGGATGGCATCCAGTCAGAATGCATTGATATCGCAGCAAGCATGAATGTTCCCATTAGCAGTTAGCTCATTCATTTGGCCTTTGTTCAGACATTTGTTTTGTAAACATGGACATTGAGAGGAAATCCTGATAGAATTAATATAGAAAGGCCAACATTTTCTTTTTTTTGACAACATTTTTCTTTTGAATAAACTGTAAAAAACAGGCAGGCATAAACTAACAGAACACAAGCTCATATCGAACCATTCTAGGACAAGTGCAGTTTCACGACATGCAGTGCTTACCTAATCCATTCTGAGAGAGCTGCTCATAAAACACCAGCACCACTTCAGAGTACTTCCTCTGCAATAATATGTCAGACCACAGGCGCCACCGTCCACTGCAGGACGAAGGGGATCACAGCAATTTGAAAGAGCAACCTCTGAGAATACCCAGTATTCATAGTGTGAGAGAAGAGAGAAATAATGACACCTGAAGCCTCGGTATGTCATGAATCAGATGGCAGTGAGACCCTGTTGCTTTCATGTGCTGAAGTACGAAGAGAAAACATATCCAGAGACAAAGTGTCTCTAGAAAAGTCACAAACCTGCCAAAAACTGTTGCTATCCCATCGTAAGATAGATCTATAAATGATTCTTATGGACCAGGGTGTCGTCTCGAGGTTCAGAGCCCTCAAGTTCAATTGCCTGAGAAGCTAAACTCTTTACATTGAAGTCGCATTCTGCATAGTTTCAGTGAAAAGTGAATTAATCTCCCTTGGAATAAATAACACATCTGTTGCATAGAGGTTTGATGCACTCCTAGGAAAGCCTCTGAGGATAAAACCAAAGAATATCCCGTATTTTTTTTTTACCTCTTTGTTAAATTTGCTGTGACAAACAGCCAGGTAGATGGGACTCTAGTCTAGGAGTGACTCAAACAGAACCGTGTCTCTGATATTCTTTGGAGAATATTTCAGAAACTGCTTATTGTAAATGTTTACATCTGGTGAAGTTCAGAAAACTGGAGGTAACCTTACAGGCAGGAAATTAAACAAGTAATATCCAGACATGGCCTCTAATTAAAACATGTTATACCACTGACAGTAACAAAATAACCCAAAACATTTTCACAATAAAAATATATTCACATCATATTGCATAAATATGTGCTGGAATGAGGTTAATGAATTAATAAAAATCTCTCTCCCAGTATGGGCTGTATGTATCATGAGATTAGCCCCAGTGCTCTGTAATGGTCGGGATCAAAATATAAAAACAGGTACACAAGTTTAAAATCTGTTCCTTATATGAATCAATAAATAGCTTCCATCAATTTTGCTGATGGAGGATATCAAATAACCCCAATTTAAGTGGTACAGCTCACGTTTACTAGAGGTAAAACATCACATGCAGAGGAGGCATTATTTGTGTATGATCCTGTAAATAATTACACATTTTATGTAGTTATAAACGCATGAGGAAAACCAATGTGTCCTTGTGGGCAGAATTCAAGTAAAGTATCATTTTATGAACATTGTGAACACTAGATGGAACATTTTAGCACATTATTCCTTAATGTGGAAATATATAAGAGGTAACTAATGTATTGTACAGTACAATAACAGCAGCACAGACGGAAGTTTTATGAGCCTTGGAAAAGCTTTGTAACAGAAAAGGTAAAAAAAAAGAAATGACATTGGCATAATATTTGGAGTGTAACGACGTAGGGGAAAATATTTGCAAATGTAAAGAGACAAATGCATCAAGTTGTACGACTCAGGAGGCGAGGGGGAATGATGCTCCACACTCGGCGTGTTCAATAGGACAAAACATTCCATTTCCTGTGAAGTAGCATTTCTATCAGACCTGGGAAATGTGGAACTGCTGTGATTTTAGATCAGCTGCTCCAGTGAATGTTTGTGTCCTATTAAATTGCCTGAGTGATCCCAGAAACATCCCAGACCCTCTGTCCAGTACATGAAGAGCTTTGGAAGCTTGGAGGTGGAGCGCAGTAAGCCACGAGACAGCTGAGGTAGAAGAGTTTGACTGAATATGAATTTCCCAGGGCGGCAGCTTGGAAAGAGAGAGAGAGGTGTAGCTACCAGTAAACCCAAGTCACTGGGGTGGCGGAGTAATAGGGGGGGAGTGTGGTGGTGTAGTCAGTCCAGACCAATGGCACGGGCAGGGTTAGGTTTTGGTTAGGGGTAGTGTTATGGGTTCCGGTATGGGAATTGTTAGCACTGGCCTAGGGGTCTGTGGATGGGTGTTGTGGGTTTGTTACCCTGTTAGTGTGAGGACCAAGGAGGATGTTGTTTCATTGACAGTGGGTGGCTCAATGGTTAGGGTGTAGGCTCCCCTGGCGGACCGCATGCTTGTCACCCGGAAGGGTTTCGAAGGGGAAATGCGGCTACTGGCTAGGTCCGCAGACCGCAACAGCTGGCCCGCCGGTAGTCGGTGCAACATAATTTATGGGGTGTGTGTAAGAAAATGTGGTGGGATGTGTTGGGTGCTGTTTTTGGGTTTGTCGAGGAAGGTTAGCCAAGGTGGGAGACATATGAGTGGTCTGTAATGAACAGGGGGGCGATACAGGATACACGGGAATTGTGGGGTGGATGTGTGTGTATTCAGTCAGACCAATGGCGCGCACGGCAGGTTAGGTCTTGGTTACGGGTACGTGTTATGGGTTCCGTATGGGAATTGTTAGCACTGGGCCTAGGTCTGTGGATGGGTGCTGTGTGCGGTTTGTATATACCGTCCTGTATAGCATGTAAGACCAAGACGTCTGAGGATGAGTACTGGGTTCATAGACGAGATGCTTGTTCAGAACACCGTACGGCGCGGCTTCATGGAGATAGGGTCGACGGCTCTGCTTCACCGCGAGGCACACAGGTCGCGAGTACGGCGTACCGAGCACGTCCGGGCAACCACTGCCGCCCGGAGGGGTGCAACAATAATTGAATGTATGGCGGTGTACTGTAAAGAAAATGTGGTGGGATGTGTTGCGTGGCTGCTTTGTTGACACGGAGCGGCTTACCAAGGTGTGGTGAGGACTGTACAAAAATGGAGTCTGGCTCTGATAGCGATGAAAGTGTGGGGATACACGGATAGGAATTGTGGGTGGAGTGTGGGTGTAGAGTCAGTCGCAGACAATGGCACGGGCAGGGGTTATGAGTGTTATGGGTTAAGGGTGTAGGTGTAAATGGGTTCCGTATGAGGAATTGGTTAGCATCTGGCCTAGTGTGTCTGTGGAATGGGTGTTCGTGGATGTTTGTTACTACGGCTGTTAGGTGTGAGACCATAGCGAGGAGAGGTGGGTTCAGGACACAGTGGGGCTGTGCTCGGAGCGGGCTCTGTAGGTGTGTGCTAGTGCGCCATGCGGGCTGCTTCCCCGCCGAGAGACATCGGACGGGTACGAGACAGACCAACGACAACCCGGCCACAGCTGGACCCAAGCCCGACGGGATCCGGCAACATGAATTTATGAGGGCGTGTAGTGTAAGAAAATGGCTGGGATGTGAGCTTTGGGTGCGGTCTCTTATGCAGAGAATAAACCAAAGGCATCCAGCTCGTTAAGGCGGAGACATATGGAGTGGTCCTGTAATGAAACGGTGGGATATCAGGATATAGGCTATTGTGGTCGGAGTGTGGTGTAGTCCGTCAGACCGAATGGCACGGCGCCAGAGCGCTCTCGACATATCCTGAGATTGACGGGCTCATGTTATGGCCATACTTACCGCGTCATGCGGCGAAATGTGTTAGACCCCCCGGCCTACGTGGGTCTCGCTGGATTGCCGGGTGTTCTTCGGGTTTCGCTATATCCTGTTACGTGCTACGAACGCGACCACAACCGGAGGATGTTGTTCATCAGACAGGGGTGGCTAATGGCGTACACCCGTATGCGTAGGGTGGCGGCGCTTCAACCCGGCGCGAGGTCGGGGA